GAACGAGCCTAAGAATATAATCATGCTAATAAATAAGGAGTACTGAATATTTTTGAACGTAACCAATTTTATTTAATTGGTGCAAATGTGACAACGTAGCGGACTGTATGAAGAGATCCAAAATATCTTATAGGAATATAAATTAATTAATCAAGAATCTTAATCATGTTAATTAGTCAAACTTAACCTTTTCAGAATAATTGCAGCAGTAATATAATTTCCTCTTCATATATATGTACACAATCTATAATTCATAGTTCAAACCAACTAATTAATTAACTTGATGTAGAATCTTAAATATTCTGAAAAGCTAAGTTGAGCAATTTTATTTTACTTTAATTTTTGAAAAATAATTTTTATAATAAATGATAATTTCTTCAAGTAATTACAAGGGCCGTCGTTTTGACTACATTCTTCGACTATAGAACCCTTTAAATCGTCGAAACGGGTCTGAATGTCGACATTATATGCCTAATCCGACGTACGGCCTGGATTGAGTTACAAGTTGCAAGAATAAAATTTTGTAACAATTAATAATATGCCGCAGTTAATTAAATAATTGCAACTGGAAATGAAACAAGATCGACTAGCTCCAAAAGACTCTTCACCATCTTGTAAAGCTAAATTAAATCATAACCAAAAAGGTAGTTTAACTAATTGGCTCATTATTTATGGAATTTATTTATTATTATTTATATGACTGATTGTAAATTAAATTATTCTGCTAATTAATTAACTAATTAAAAATCAAGAAAATCTTTAACCTTGACTACACTGCATGCATGTTAAACACGTTGAGTCAAGGTCAATACTTATTGAGGAATTTATGAAATTAATTTTGGCCTAATTACCATTAACTGAATTCATACGATCAAGTTTAGGTAATTTGATATTTGATTTTATCGTTTTACAATTCGACTGAGTTTCATAACTTACGAGAACGGGGAAAAAAATGTTAAAAGAATCGAATTAAAGCGAACTCTTAAGTCTTAATTCTGAAGACTTGCCTGTAAAATAGATTATTAGTTAAATTAGGAAATATATATTCCATGGGACCTTTGAATAAATATTAAATAGTAGTAGATGTATCCTTTGGGATATACGATAAGGCTAACACGTACTCAAGATGCGGAAAATTGGATTCCTTCTTATTAGTAGTAGTAATTAAACTAGTTAATCATGCTTATCGCTAATTAATTAAACCATAGTTAAAGCTCCACTTGTTCATTCAAAAGCCGACCAAAAATGTCAACGCCTGACACTATATAAACCTTCCCATTATCCCGTAATTATACATCATCAACATTTCCTTCATTTACGAAGGATATATATTACTACTATATAAAAAAATAAAAAATAAAATAAAAAATCTGAAATGGAAGGATCTCCGGGAACTTCCATGCATGGAGTCACCGGAAGAGAGCCTGTGCTTGCTTTCTCTGTTGCTTCTCCGATGGTCCCCACCGACAAGACGGCGCATTTCGATTTGCCGGTGGATTCAGAGCACAAGGCCAAGAAGTTCAAGCTATTCTCCTTGGCCAATCCACACATGAGGACTTTCCATCTTTCATGGATCTCCTTCTTCACCTGTTTCGTCTCCACCTTCGCCGCCGCCCCACTTGTTCCGATCATCAGAGACAACCTCAACCTCACCAAGGGAGATATCGGAAACGCTGGAGTCGCCTCCGTCTCCGGCAGTATTTTTTCCAGGCTGGTGATGGGCGCCGTCTGCGATCTGCTGGGCCCCAGGTACGGTTGCGCGTTCCTGGTCATGATGACTGCTCCGACAGTCTTCTGCATGTCATTTGTCTCTTCCGCCGGCGGCTACGTGGCGGTCCGTTTCATGATCGGATTCTCTCTTGCAACGTTCGTTTCTTGCCAGTACTGGATGAGCACCATGTTCAACAGTCAGATCATCGGTCTTGTCAACGGAACCGCCGCAGGATGGGGGAACATGGGAGGTGGCGCCACCCAGCTACTGATGCCGCTGCTTTTCGAGATAATCAAGAGCGCCGGAGCGACGCCGTTCACCGCCTGGAGAATAGCATTCTTCATACCAGGGTGGCTCCACATAATAATGGGTCTTTTGGTCTTAACACTTGGTCAAGATTTGCCTGATGGAAATCTAAGTACCCTCCAAAAGAAGGGAGAAGTTGCTAAAGATAAATTCGGCAAGGTATTGAACATTGATTATATTTTCTTTTATTATTATTATTATTATTATTATTATTATTATTATTATTATTATTATTATTATTATTTTAAATTGTATGTAATTTAATGGGCTAATTATTATTATTATTATGTATCTTTGGTATATTCAGGTGTTGTGGTATGCTGTGACAAACTATAGGACATGGATTTTTGTTCTGTTATATGGTTACTCCATGGGCGTTGAACTCTCAACCGATAACGTCATCGCCGAATACTTTTACGATAGGTAAATAATCTTATTAGCCCTTAATTATCCATGCTTAGTGAATTAAATGCAATAATTTTATTTTGACTAATCTAATATTGTGACAATATATAATCGAACAGATTTGACCTAAAGCTACACACAGCCGGAGTGATAGCGGCAACATTCGGCATGGCGAATCTGTTGGCCCGTCCGTTCGGTGGATTCGCTTCCGATTATATGGCTCGACATTTTGGAATGAGGGGAAGGCTTTGGACTCTTTGGACTCTTCAAACAATGGGTGGTGTTTTCTGCATTCTTCTAGGAAGAGCTACTTCACTTCCGGTTGCCATAGCACACATGATCATCTTCTCCATCGGAGCTCAGGCTGCTTGTGGGGCTACCTTCGGTGTCGTCCCTTTTATTTCACGGCGGTCTTTGGGAATTATCTCAGGTTTGACCGGCGCCGGAGGAAACTTCGGATCCGGGTTGACCCAGTTGTTGTTCTTCACAAACGCGAAACACAGCACAGGAACAGGGCTGAGTTATATGGGGATAATGATAGTGGCGTGCACACTTCCGGTGGCGGCGATCCACTTCCCGCAGTGGGGGAGCATGTTCTTCCCGCCGTCAAAGGGGGTGGTTGAAGAACATTACTACATCAAAGAGTATACTGAGGATGAGAGGGAGAAGAATATGCACCTCGGCAATATCAAGTTCGCCGAGAACAGCCGATCTGAACGCGGCGGCAACCGTGTGGTTTCGGAGGCCACACCACCACATGCTTGAATATTGTTTTAATTTATTGTATGTTTGAGTTTGAATGTTTGCATTTGATTGTTGTTTTTTTTTTTTAAGAACGTGATGTCATTCTGTTATGACACATGGTTTCTCTACGTCTGTTTTTGTGGTCAATGTCGACAACTTTGATGTTTGGAGTTTTCCAAAGACTTGGAATGTAACTCATTCATGACAATGATCATTTATTCATACATAACTCTCTCACCCTAAATTCAATCTAGCTAATTCATGTTCAATTAAAACACCAATTCAGATGACTACATATCTAACTCTATAAAATTTGAGTTGCTGCAAAATTTATTGATGATCGAGTAAAGCACATGCAGAATACATCGATCGTATCGGAGAAAGTGTTGATGAGAAGTTAGTGTTGAATGACCATCTCAACCAAAAACTTAAGCTTTTAGTGAAACGCATCATTTAATATTAATATTTACAAGAGTTAGTAATGCATATACTGCTCAAAATTCGCACATTCAATATCTCCTTCTAAACCCTACTCGTCAAAAGCTCAACGCGCGTCAAATGAAAGGCCGGTGAAGTTAAGACAATGGACAATGGATATAGTAAAGTTGGGCCGATTACGCCAGCTCCCTAACCGAGGCGAACATTCTCTTCGGCCCATTTTGATTATGATATTCAAAGCCCATTTTAAGGGCCTCCAATACATATAAACTCCTTCAGCCCAACTTACATTTTACCTCTCCGGTTCGCTTGCTTAGGCCCAGTCGAAGCTTTGTCAAAATGGGCCACATCAGATAGTTTCGGATTTTATCACATTTAACTACTATTTATATGCATGTTAGAGTCTAATTAAAGCTTCTTTGCTAACTCTATTGGGGTTGTCTAGGGTCCGAGAGGGTTGTACTTCTCGGACCGTAAGAGATGTAATCTGGTGCGTACAATTTCCTTAAATTTCAATCTCATCCGTTGATTAATTTGTACGACTTAGTACGATCTAGTACGATATTATAAATTTTAAAATTAATGTACGAACCTAGTAAAAAAACATCGTACACTATCGTATACACATCGTACTTTATATAAATTACTTAATTAACCTTATAAACTCAAATTAATAAATTGAAAAACCTTTTAAAAAATATTATAATAATCATAACTATTAGTTAAACTTAAAGTGAAACCCCCCACCACTTCTCCCATTTTCTTTCGAAAAACTCTTGCAGTGCTTCCACCATTTCATTTCTTCTTCAGCGGCACTGACAGTCAATACTCAACCAAGGAGATATGGATGGGCTCAGCCGCAATAATCAATCCAAGTTATGGGTGTATTTGGCTTTTAGAGGCGACACAGTGAATTTGAATTGGGGATGGTTCAGATTGAAGGAATGTAATCATTTGGGGGAAAGTATGTCTGGGCTTGGAATCTCGGGTACGAATCAATCCCCTTATTTTTTTATAAGATTTAAAATATTTGGAATTTTTATACAAGTTATATTTAAGTAAGATTTAAAATATTTGGAATTTTTATACGAGTTGTATTGTGAATCGGAGTCGAGAAAGTAAGATTCAAAATATTTGAAATTTTTATACGAGTTATATTGTGAATCGGAGTCGAGAAAGTAAGATTCAAAATATTTGGAATTTTTATACAAATTATAGTGTGAATCGGAGTGGAGAATTGAAGTAAACCCTTGCAGAGTCCTAAATTTTCATGTGCATCTTTAGTATTAAAACAATCGTTCAGACTCCATCATCTATAGAATTCGAAAACCCTAATTATGTTCTATTTATTTGGTTCTTGATTTGGTTGGTGCAGGATTAATTGTTGTAGCAGTGTCAGGTCAAAAATCATCACAGCTCTCTCCTCCATCTATTTTTAAGCCGGAGACAATTTCGGGATAAATTATAGATTCAGAACTCCATCGAGCCGTAGAGAACTTTGAGATAAATAATAGATTCAGAACTCCATTGATTTTTCATTCGGCAGCCTCTCATGTAAGTGATTAAATTACGTAAACCATATATATGCAGGTTTTTCAAAAGCAAGAGATTCTAATAATTTCAAAATTGATGTTCGATTATAGTTGTAAATATGTATATAAGACGTATTTTTTTCGTAGGGGTGATAAAAAACCTAATAATCTAAAGCGCAAATTGAGCTACAATGATTCGTATATGAAAACTAGTCACAAGTCTGTGAAGATTGAGTTGCCATCCGCATTTACAGAGTCCAGCATGGTATCGTATCTTCTTTTTTGATTTTGCACCTTTTCAAAATTTGTTCAATTATTCTTATTTACGAATTTATTATTAATAGGATACGAAGAGTGCAAAAGCCTGGAATAACAGCGGCAAAGGTTATAAACTGTACAGCGAGAGACATCACGTGAAATGTGATGAGTTTCTTAACCGAAATGTATGAATTTATTTCAACAGTACGAAATAGCTTAATCTATATAGTGCTCTTTTTTTCAAATTTAACCATTGTAGGTTCATAATTTGTTTAGGTTCCAAAGCTCGAACATAGAACTTCACTCAGAAAGTTGATAGAGGTAAATAGAACTCTAGACAAGTCTCAAATAGGATGCGTTGAACTAATGGGATTTGGAGCTCTGACTAGAGTTGAAATTGATCAACTAGATAGAGAGGTGCTAAAATGGATAATATACAATTATGACCCGGAAAGTAGCACCCTTAACATTCGTAGTCGTTGTTATAGCGTGAATGATGAAGATGTTAAAATTGCACTTGGTGTACCGGCAACTTCTCAAACCATTATACTACACATTAAAGGCACCGACGGAC